GTCTGGGATATTCTTTTATAGGAACACAAGATGAACCAAAATGGGAGGTGATTGAGTTATGGGCCTTGTAAAAAGACTTCACGGGGGGAGTTTGTCCTTTTGTGCCCCACCATCCCTTCTGCCATGTGGGGACACGATATTCTTCCCCTCCAGGGCATGCAGCATCAGGAGTGATCTTGTAAGAAGTAAAGTTTTATTGTATCAGCACAGAACATACTAAGATAACACTCGTGCGATTTTTGTTTTTTATTCTGTTAGTGTGGTGTATGACATTGATTTTTGTATCTTGCACTTTTATTGTATTTGAGGAATGAACCCATCTTGTTCATTTTATAATACTTTTAAAGTTTTCTTGAATTTAGTTTGCTCATATTTTCTTGAGAATTGTGGCATCATTAATCAAGGATACAGGTCTGTCATTTTCTTTTCTTATCAAATCTTTGTCTGGATTTCCTGTTGGCATAGTGCTTGCTTCATAAAATGAGTTTGAGAATATTCCCTCTTCCTCTTCCTCAGTTCTTTGGAAGAGTTTTAGGAGGCTTGATGTTATTTTTTTTTTTTTACATGTTTTATAGAAGTTTCCAGTGATAACATCTGGTCCTGGAATTTTCATTGTTGGGAAATTTTTGATTCCTGCTCTGTTTCATGAATGGGACATATATATGCCAAGAACCCCCCACACACACACACACAAATGTGGCAAGAGCTAAGAAATCAAAGAACGAGGCAGACAAATTCAATTTGTCAACAGAGGGTGATTTATCAGGAAACTATGGACAGAAGCGTGGTCTTGAGTGCCAGCGAGACCAGTAGATATCCACACCGCTACAGATCCAGGGTTTATATACCACAGGGAAACGGTTAGGGTTAGAGTTACACATGCTCCAGAAGATTGTACAGCATAAAGTCCACCCCCCAGGAAAAGGCGAGAGTGCTACGTGTGTTGTAGCCTATAATTTGCCATAGGACAGGATTTATGGTAAGTATGTGTTTACAATAAAGTAAACATTGTCTTGACTTACACAAGGAAGAGTAAATGAAGTAGAAATGTTGGAGGCATTTCCAAGATTGGGGTTAATCAAAAGTCAACATGGCACGTTAGCATCCATGATAGATGGAGTGACTTTGGCCTCCATATGCTCAATCCCCTTCCTAGTTACAGATCTGTACAAATTTCCTATTATTCATGAAGTAGTCATAATGGGTTGTATGTTTCAAGAAACTATTTCTTTTATTATCCAATTTTTTGGCATATAATTGTACATAGTATTCTCTTAAAAACGTTCTCCTTTTTAATTTCTGTGACATCAATCATAATTTCCTCTCTCTTATTTCTGATTTTATTTCAGCCTTACATCTTGTTTTCTTCATAGCTACTCTAGCTAAGAGTCAATTTTATTGATCTTCTGAAAATCAACTCTTGTTTTTGTCAATATTTTTACTGTGTTTCTTTTGTCTCTCTCTAATCTTTGTTAGTTACTTCCTTTTGCCAGTCATTAATTCAGCTGTTTCTTTTTTTTTTTTTTTTTTGGATTTCATTGCATTGTAAAGTTAGGGTGCTGATTTGAGATATTTCTTCCCCCTTAATACTGTTTTGGTGGCATCCCATAAATGTAAGTATGTTGTGTTTTTCTCTTCATTTGTCTCTAGATGTTCTATAAATTCTCTCATGATTTTATTTTTGATCCATTGGATTTTTACGAGTGAGTAGTTTATTTTCTGCACAGTAGAATAATGCATGATTTGTTCTTCTGTGACTGGTTTATTTCACTTACCATAATGTCTTCAAGGTTCATCCATGTTGTTGTACACTACAGAATTCCCTTCTTTTTAAGGTTGAATAGTATTCCATTTTATGTATATGCTGCATTTTTTAGTCCATTCATTAGTGATGGAAGTTTAGGTTGTTTCCACATCTTGAATTTTGTGAAAAATGCTTCAGTGAACATGGAGTGGTAATATTTCTTCAAGGTCCTGCTCTCCATTATTGTGGGTAAATCCTCAGAAGTTGAATTGTTGGATCCTATGGTAGTTCTATTTTTAGTTGTTTGAAGAACCTCCATACTATTTTCCATAATAGCTTCACCATTTTGCATCTCTACCAATAGTGGGCACATCCTCTCCAACATTTGTCTTTCTTTCCTTTTTTTTCCTTTTTGATAATAGCTATCCTAACAGTTACGAGGTGATATTTCATAGTGGTTTCTATTTGCAGTTTTTTGATGAATAGTGACATTGAACATTTTTTCCTATAGCTGTTATTTTCCATCTGCATATCGTCTTTGGTAAGACATCTGCTCAGATATTTTGTCAGTTTTAAAATTCAATTGCTGTTTCTTGAGTTTTACAAGGTCTTTGTATATTCTACACAAATCTTTTATCACATATGTGATTTGCAGACATTTTTCTGAGTCTGTAGCCCATTTCATTCTTTTAACAATGTATTTCTTATAGCTAAGTATTTTAATTTAAATGAAGTCCAACTTATTTTTTTTTCCTTACATGGATTTTACTTTTGCAGTCATATCTAAAAACTCATATCAACACCAAGTGTGTGCATGGATGTTTTCTCCTGTACGTTGTTCTAAAAGTTTTATAGTCTTTCATATTATATTTAAGCCTGTGACCAGTTTTTAATTAATGGACATACAAAGCATGAGGTCTGAATTGAGTTTCATCTTTTTGCATGTGGACATCCAATTTTTCTGTCACAATCAATTGAAGTGACTGCCCTTTCTGCATTGAATTGCTTTTATGTATTTTTAAAAAGTTAGTTGAATGTATTTGTATGAATCTATTTATGGGCTCTTTTCTGTTGCATTTGTCCATTTTGTTTTGCCAATATCATGCTGTCTTGTTTATGGTAGCTTTACAGAGAAAATTTTGAAATTGTATGATGCGATTCTTCCAACTTGGTTCTTCCTTCTCAGAATTCTGAAGACTACGCTAGGTCCCTGGCTACAGGCACACCTCATTGTCGTGTGCTTTACTTACTGCACTTCACAGATATTGTATTTTTTACAAATTTAAGGTTGTGGCAACACTGCGTAGAGAAAGCCTATTTGTACAATTTTTCCAATAGCATGTGCTCATTTTGTTTCTGTGCCAGCATTTTTTAGCAAAAAAGTACTTTTTAAAATTAAGGTATATACCTTTTTATACATAATGTTGTTGCATACTTAATTGACTATAATATGGTACAAACATAAGTTTCATATGCACCGAGAAACCAAAAAAATTTGTATGACTCCCTTTATTGTGGTAAAATTGAAGCCATAATATCTCAGAAGTATGTGTGTATTTGTTACTTTTGTGTTTTTAAATTCCTATTTGGACCTTGATGCGCACATGAAATTATAATACTTACATCTTCAGTTCTAAGTAATTTTGAGATGATATTTCTTAACTACTGCTTCCTTTTTCTTATCTTTATTTTTGCTACTTAAATTCTTATTACCTGATGTTGAAAACCCTGGAAATAGCTTCTCTGTTTCTGATTTATTCTTACAGATCTTCCACTTTTAAAATCACTTTGTATTTAATTCACAGAAACTTTCTTAGTTTTGATGTTTAACGTCACAATTCATCATTAAGACATATCCAGTATCCTTATTCAAGATAATGGTTTACTTAAAAATCAACAATTATGTTTTCATTTATATGATCTATAAGTGGTTTATTTACATAATTTTCTTTTCTTCAATAAAAACTGTCTGATCTTCTTCACATCCTCACAGTGTAATATAGTTGTAAACCACATTGTTTGTCTGTCAATTAGATGTGTTGACACCTATTCCTTGGAATTATACTAATACCCACTCTAACTTTTCTAAGGAGATTATTAATGAAACATACTTATATTAAGGTCCTGTTTTATTCACACAACTTACATTTTTTTTTAATCAGGAGTAATCTCTTGCATTTTTGAATTTATTATCTTTCCTTCTTAGCGTAGATATACCTCAGAAGTTAAATCTCTTTTTAAAAAATATTGTGTGCTTGCTATTGCAGTTGAGATTCTGTCAGACATTATGTTGCCACTGCTTTGCAGTCTGGGATCATGCATGGGACATGCTGTTGTGGCTTACGTTGGTGTTAGGGGAATGCAGAGTGAGGTTTGCCTCAGGTGTGGGTTACTAGCAGAGTATTCAGAGTCAGTGTGCTCTTGGGACTTCCTAGCATTTGCAGTCGTAAGCAGTACTGGCCCTGTTCCCTTCTACCAAGTTCACAGACTCTGTTCCGGCTTAAAACCAGAAAGGCTTCTTGAAATTGGCTTGTCCTGTAAAGAAACTGCAAGTTTGCTAGGGTAGATGTCTGTCTGGATTTGTGGACTTAGTTATTCCCCCTTGTAGGTTTTCACTGAGTCACCTTCTGTTTCTGGATACCACCGCACTGGGATGATGAACGTTACTGCCACTCAGTCCTGGGTGTATTAGAACTCTTGGCGCTAGTCCTGGAGCTGAGGGATTCCTCACAGCCTCCTTGTCTGCTTTCAGTCTGTTAGGTCTTTTTTCCTCAGTTTCTTATGTTGAGAGTTGCTAAATGGCGGTCTCTCTCTCTCTCTCTCTCTTTCTCTGTCTGTGTGTGTATGTATGTATGTGTCTGTCTGTATGTGTCTGTCTGCGTGTGTGTATGTGTATTTGTTATTGGCTCATTGTATTTGGTGTGGAGTAAGTCTACAGACATGAATATCTTAACTAAAAAATGCATATGTTTTTCTAAATATAAGCAATTAATATAGTATTCATAATGCTAAAATTATTTTTTTCAAAATATACTCTTTATTTTTATTTTTAAAAAGTCATCCTATATTTTAAATTGATCATGGGGTTCTTGAATTTGTTAAGATACTAAATTCTTACTATTTAGAATAATACATTCTAAAGAATATGTTTATTTTTTAATGGACTGAAACTTTTATTAACTTGAGTGAAAAATACTGTTTCGTTTTTTAATTTTCTGACTTACTATATCATCTTTATCGATTTGCTTTATTTTAGGTGATTTATATCATTAAAATTGATGGAAAACCATGTACTCTGCATCTCAGAAAACAGTAAGATATAATTTTTCCTTTTAAGGAAAAAGGATGCCTTTTAGTTTAGATTTTACAGTTTTAAAGTTTTGTATATTATTTAAATTCAGGGATAAAATATAATGTAGACTTGCTTTATCAATCCATTTTTCAATTTAGGATCCATTACGTCTTAAATATTAATATTAGATCTATGAGGCTCATACATTTTAATTTTCCAGCTTGGTGTTTTCAGATTAAGAAATAAGCTACATATTTTTAAATTGCCAAATGAGTATAAGCCTTTGAACCCCAAAACTGCAAGTATGTCTGATGTGAAATGAAACAAAGTTACACATCAAGTGATTATTAGTGAGAAATTTGAACTACTGATATAATTTTTATGTTAGTTATATATGCATTTATTTTTAACAACTTTATTGAATACACTTTATAGATAAAATTCCCTAAAATGCGCAATAAAATAATTTTAATAAGTTTATACAGTGTTACAACCATCAGCTATAAATCAGTTTTAGAACATTCTTTCCCCACTAGGAACCCTCATGTCATTTCATAGTTAATATCTGTTCCCACCCACAGCTCTAGGCAACAATCTACCTGATTTTCATTTTCTCAACACTTCATAAAAATAAAATCAAACAGCCTCTTCTCTGACTGAATCTTTGAACATATATAACAACTACCCGTTGTCTACTCGAATCTATTTAGTTGAAAAAAGCTGGAGAAAATTATTCTGTCTTAATTCATTACTACTACCCTATTTAATGAAGGCCTACTAACCTCATGTTGGCCTTTCATGCCTCTACAACTCCACTAAAAGTGTTTTTTGATAAGCTCACCAATGGTCCTCTTGTTTTTGAATGCTGTTTGTTTTTTAGTCATTTTTTTTAACCAATTGGAAGCACTTGGCAAAAGTGATCAGCGTCTCCTCTATGAAAAATACTTTGTTTATTTAGCTTTTAGAATACTCCTGGTCCTGGTTTGACTCCTACCATTGTGGTTCTCCGGCTCCCCTCGCCCCCCCCCTCCCCGCCCCGTGCAGATGCCTCTTATTTCTTCAATATTAAGAGTAATCCATGGTGCTGTTGTTGAATCTTTTAATCACCTGGTTATTTCATGCAGTCTTATGGCTTTAAACACCATTGGTGTGTTGGCTGCTCCCAGATTTATATCTATCTCTACCTTATTCCTCTCCAATAAATGCCATATTCCTTTACCCAACTACTTGAGAATCAAGTGGTTACTAGAGTTCTTATAGGTAACATGTTCAAAATGAACTTCTGATCTTCTTCTCAAATTTATCTTTGTCATAATCATCTCAATAAATGGCAACTCTATCACTTTTCCAGAAAAAATAAAAAATAAAAACCCTGGAGTCATACTTGATATCTTTCTTTTGTTTTTTCCCATATCCAGTGGGTTATTAAATCCCATATATTCTCCCTTCGAAATCTATCCAGAATTTGACCACCGCCACGACTACTATCCTAGGTCAAACCACCATGCTGTCTGGCCTGGATGACCATAATAACCTTCTGTCGGGTCTTGCTACTTCTGCTTATTTGCCCTGCAGACTGCGCCCAACACAGCATTCAGTTGACTGTGTGAAAACATTTATGTGATACTGTCTTTGTCTGCTCAGACCTTCCAATGGCTTCACATCTCACTGGCACTATCTCCTGCTATCTCTCTTCATCACTCCACACTCCCTTCCAGTCTAATTTCCCCCTAAACTCGGTTCTGCCCCAAAGTTCTTGCATTTTGTATTAAATTTGTCTGGAATAACATTCTGTGAAAATCCATCTGTTCAGAGAACCTTTCTATGCCATCCAATCTATGTGCTGTCAACACTCCCCCAGACCTTATGTATTATCATCTAATGTGTGGTAGTTTATGCCTCTGACTCTCATGAAGACCAGGGAGTTTGTCTTTTGTTAAATGCTGAGTCCTGGCACCTAGAAGAGGATCTATCAGATATCAGACACTCAGTAAAGATTTGTAGAATAACATCATGCACAGAGGAGTCCCCAGATCTGTTCTGACGTTAAGAAAGCCTTAACTTCCTGACTCACCAATTCCATGAATTTCGGCTATTAGGCCACACTAAAATTATTCTCATTAAATCATGTTATTATGTGAATTACATATATTTAACATTTATCTTATATTAATGTATATATTCATATTAAAATTATGACACAAACCTTTTTAAAATTTTTTTTGTTTTTTTAGCTCATTCTTATCTCAGAACTTTTTAGTTTATACGTATGATGAAACTGGATCTTTGCATTCTGAGTCTTCATATTTTACGGTAAAGTCAGATGTCTTAGACATTTATTATCTTATATTTCTTTATTGAAATGGACATATCATTACCATTAAGATGTGTTTGTTCCATGTTGACAGTTTACTAAAAATGTTTTGTCCTGTATAACTCTGATCTGTTATGTGATTGATGAGAATATAAAAATGACATGGCTAGAGATGAAACCCAGTTACAGGAGAATACTCGTGGGCACCCAGATGGTACAAAGTAAAGACAGGTGTCAAAAACCTTTTCTTTTGAAAATTTGCATTAATAACTCTGTATGATTCATTATATTATTATTATTAAATATTTTACTGTTTTGAGTCTTGTGAAATGTTTGACAATACTTTTTTATTCATAAAGAATTTATATATTTGCCTTTCTATACTGTTTTTCAGAGGCCTTGCCATTATCAAGGATATGTTGTAGAATTTCCAAATTCATCTGTGACACTCAGTATATGTTCGGGTCTCAGGTAGTAGCATCTTATAGGATATTTCCATTTGAAGAACTTAGGATATACTTAAAATGAAACTTTGATGTTTGGAAAACACAATCTGGGAAGGTTTATGGGGTATCCAAATTTGAAAATTTCCTTTATAGTGGCCTTATTTTATTTATATTAATATTACTACCTGGACCCAAGTGCCCATTCAAATCAATTCAATCTGGGACCCCTAGTGGACACAGGGTCTATTCAGGAGACTGTGCAGAAAGGGGTGGCATTGTGGAAGGAAATGCTGGAACATCCCCTAAGTGCAATTGTTGCATTCTCTATCAGTTTTCTCACATAATTGTGAAAATGGTATAAATTAGTTATTTTAATATAATAGGCACATACAGTGTGCCGTCAGCTTAGTACCAGACATAAATCAACTAATTAAGAAGATCCCTTAGGGGTAAAGAACATGGATAAGTGATTTTTGTCATTGATAATGGGAGGCTTATGGTAAATTCATAAGAAGGTTCGTAAGGGCACAGGGGCTCTAACCTCCCTTTGGTTTTAGCTGCCTAATTTCCAGAATTTATCATGTCAACTGAGAAAATTGGCATTCTTTGAATGTGGTTTTTATAGATATCAACCTCTTTAGATACACACTCTACATACCTGCTTTCTCTTTTTCTAACCTCTGTAAAAACAGGGACTTTATTACTAGAATTCTCAAAAAAATATCTTGGTTCTTGGTAATTTTATCTTAATTAATGTATATTGAATGAATATTATTGCTACCTATAAATTACAACATACTCTTTACTACATTTTGCTCTTTAAAATGTGAGCAAATGTAAGGAAGATGTGGTTAATATACACTGAAAGAAAAAATATAGGAAAAGAAGGCGGCAGTGGGCTTAAAACATTCTTTACTATGGTTTCTAATTGTTCATGCCACTTCAGATTATAAGATTTTTATAATTATTATCTTCTAAATTTTTAGCGGATTTCTTCAGCTTGAAAATATCAGCTATGGAATTGAACCACTGGAATCCTCAGCAAGATTTGAGCACATAATTTATCAAGTGAAAAATGACAACATAAATGTATCAATGTTAGCAGAAAATTACACCAATATTTGGCAGAAAGACAAGCCTTTCAAAATTCATTTAAGCCCACAGGTAACTGTTATGATTCTAATGTTATGGCATACTAGGAAATTAACCTCTGTAGATTTTTTTTAATTATGAAAGAAATCTAGTTAACTGTTGAGCAGAAATATTAACTTTTATATATTTTAATATATCTTTAAGTAAAACATCTAAATTCCATCTAAAATATTTGAAAGATTATATAATATATTTCACATTTATTGTTTTTATTCAATGTTTATTTTCTATGGTTTTTTTAAACAACACACATATCATTGAAAAAGTTTAGAAATACAGAAAGAGAACAGAGTCACTGTTATATATGGTACCCTGGTAAAGTTACTTTTAAGATTTTGATATATACCTTTACATACTACCAGAATATATCTTTCTAAAATAGGCAATCATGGTTTATTACTCAACTCTCTTAATTTTCTGGTAGTCTGGATATAGAATTCTTGTTTGACAGTTTCCTTCTTTCAACACTTTGAATATTTCAATCCATCACCATCTGGCCTTTGTAGTTTCTGTTAAAAAATCTGCTATTAATATTACTGAGAATTCCTTGTATGTATTGAGTTATTTCAATGTTGTTTCCTTCAAAATTCTTTCTTTGCCTTTGACAGATTGCTTATAATGTGTCTGTGAGTGGATCTCTGTGTCTACCCTAATTGGAGTTCATAGCATTTTTTGAGTCTATAAATTGTGTTTTGAAGTCAAATTTGGAAAGATTTAGGTCATTCATTCTCTGAATATTTTTCCTGCACCTTTATCTCCCCCTTTCTTTCTGGTAGTCCTGTCACATATGTTTTGATACGCTTGAGAGTGTCCCATGGGTTTCTTTGGCTCTGAGCATTTTTCTCCATTCTTTTTTCTTTCTCTTCCTCGGATGATATAATCTCAGTTGGTCTATCATCAAATTCACTAATTCTTTCTTCTGCCTGCTCAAATCTGCCCCATGCCTCTTTAATGAATATCTAACTTGTTATTGTATCTTTTAATTCTAGAATTTCTATTTTTTGTCATTTTGTCCCTCTATTGATATTCTCTTTAGTGAGACATCATTACATTACTTTCCATTAGCTGTTTATATGTGGTGTCCTTTAACTCTTTGAAATTATTTAAAATAGGTAATTCAAAGTATTTTTCTATTAAGTTCAAAGTCTAGTCTTCATCTTGATGGTTTTATCCCTGTGCATAGGCCATACTCATCTGGTTCACCGCATGTCTCAGTTTTTTTTGAGAACTGAAAGTGGATATTCCAAATAGCATAATATAATGCTATAATTCTGGAAATCTAGTTCTACCTCCCTCTCCCGTTTTTTTCTTTTTTTCATTGTTGCTATTTGCTAGAGTTTTTGTTTGGTGACTTTTCTGAACTGGTTCTCTAAAGCCTGTTTTAGAGAACAGGCTCTTTGTTGGGTGTTGCCACTGAGGTCTGTCTGCTGTTATCTGAAGGATGAGGAGCTGGATGAGATGCCTTTCATTTGACTTCCTGCTTGCAGAGAGCCTCCATGTCAGCTGGAGGTGGGAGTTTAGGATCTTGTCAGGCCTTTCCTAAGCATGCACAGTGCCCTGGGCATGTGCTCATCCCTGCACATCTGTGTGGGTTTCTGGAGTCCCAGAAATTTGTCTTTGCTTTTTTTTCCTAGCCCCAGGTAGACAGCCCGTTCTCTGGGCTTTCCCTTTTAACCTTTGTGCTTAGTCCATTGTTTGCCCTACTGTTATTATTTAGCACATGTAAAGCTAAAAAAAAACATGGCTGTAATTATTTTTAACAAGTATCTTTGGGAAAAAGACACTTCATATTAGGTGAGGTCTGACTTAAGTCAAACACCAACAAGCTCGAAGCATGTCTTCTAGGAAGCACCATGCAGGTCAGATTATGACAGTCCTCTGAGAACAACATTTAGAAGATGCTCAGCCACATTCTGCTTTCTTCAGATGTTGCCAGTCTACTGGTATTCACCACAAATACAAGATAATAGTTTTCATGGCTGGGTGCAGTGGCTCACGCCTGTAATCCTAGCACTCTGGGAGGCTGAGGCAGGCGGATCGCTCGAGGTCAGGAGTTCGAGACCAGCCTGAGCAAGAGCGAGACCCCATCTCTACTATAAATAGAAAGAAATTAATTGGCCAACTAATATATATAGAAAAAATTAGCCGGGACCGGATGTGGGTGCATGCCTGTAGTCCCAGCTACTCGGGAGGCTGAGACAGAAGGATCACTTGAGCCCAGGAGTTTGAGGTTGCTGTGAGCTAGGCTGACGCCACGGCACTCACTCTAGCCTGGGCAACAAAGCGAGACTCTGTCTCAAAAAAAAAAAAAAAAAAAAATTAGTTTTCAACTCATGGGGAAGGGAACTAGAGCAAACTCAAATCCCCCAAAGACTGCTATTTGTACCAAGATCTGTCATTTTTCTTGAATAAATGTTCCTCAGAATGATGCAAGGTTTCTGGTTAATATCAGAGTCATGAAAAAGTTGATTCTAACAATTTTTGCCAATTCTCTTGTTGGTTTTATGTAGGACAGAATTTACAGAGGTCCTCACTCTGATTTCCACTGATGTCAATCTATTTCATGAATTTTACATGGCTCATATATATAGTCCTTTAATATAATATGGTCTCTGATTTCTCTTGATATCCTCCATTGACCTGTGGTACCTTTAGAAGTATGCATATTTGGACATTATCTAACTATCTTTTTGGTATTGATTTTTAACTGAATTTCATCATGTTTTGGTAATATATTTGACATTGTACATTATTCAGTTGCATTGTGTAAGGTCCTACAGATGTCTATGAGGTCAATTTGTTTTCTTTAAAATTTCTGTTTTGGATATATTTTTTGGCAAGGAATTTGTAGTTTATGTCTGTTGTCACGGCATCTTCCTTATAAGAGATTTTTAAGCTTTGTTCTACAATTTTCATTTTTCAGTGATACATTTTTATTAATAATTTTATTAAAGTCATCCAAAATATGTTTAGCAAACTTTCACTATTTACTTTGACTGTCATTAATGTTGCCTAGAAGTAGGTGAGAAAATTGTGATAACAAATATCTCTCAGAGGCAAGCAGAGAGAACCCCTTTCTCTTTCTTCAATCCTTTCCAATTTCAGAGTAACTAACATCTTATTAATAACAAAATGTCAGTGTAATCGATAAAATAAAATATGATTTTTAAATACACATGGATAGGAACAGCCAACTCCTTTCTGTCTTGGATCAAAAGAGGTATTTGATGTTGAACTTATTATTTCTGATCTTGCATGTTGTGTGATCTTTTCCATGACAACCTTTAACAAATTAATTAAAGTTGCTTTAAATAAATTCCCTTTCTGATACTTCCACAACCTGTTCAAGGTACCAGCCTGATTTTCATGATTGCTTATGTCTTCCAAACTGTGTTTGTTCTCGTCTCCACGTATTTCCCTTCCTTGTTTGATTGAAAGCCAGACATTGCATATGGCAGTAACTACTAAATTATTAAGAGTTATGTTTTAGGCTTAGAGATGAGTTCATCTTTTCTTCTGCTAAGTCATTTGTTTGAAAGTTTATGTTGATCTAGTCAGAAGACAGGGCTGTGTGAAGTTTGTCATTGCTGGAGTCACTCAGTGTATCACAGGCTTCACATTTCTCTAGTGACAACTTGTGTTTATGGTGGGGGATAATTTGTTATAGGGATGCTTGTTTCTTTCTTGGCTTCGGGTTTCCTCGCTCGGCTTTGTCTTGTGTCTTTGCAAACAAAATTTCTCTCTTTTGGAACCCTCTTCTATCTCCATTGGTTTGTTATTGTTATTGTTGTTGTTGTTGTTGGAGACAGAGTCTCGCTTTGTTGCCCAGGCTAGAGTGAGTGCCATGGCGTTAGCCTAGCGCACAGTAACCTCAGACTCCTGGGCTCAAGCGATCCTCCTGCCTCAGCCTCCCGTAGCTGGGACTACAGGCATGCACCACTACACCCAGCTAATTTTTTCTATATATATTAGTTGGCCAATTAATTTCTTTCTATTTATAGTAGAGACGGGGGTCTCACTCTTGCTCAGGCTGGTTTCGAACTCCTGACCTCGAGCAATCCTCCCATCTGGGCCTCCCAGAGTGCTAGGATTACAGGCGTGAGCCACCGCACCCGGCCTATCGCCACTGTTATTTCTTCTTGACACCTTTTAGCAAGGGACATGGAGTTGGCATGGGGCAGAGAACAGGGGCATTTTCTGATTTTCCACTGACATTAGGCAGGTATTATGATGTGTGGTTTGGGATGTCCTGCTCACACGTGTCCCTACCCTTCTCCTCCAGACGTAATGCAGGGCCCAGCAGGTATTCCTTCCCAGCTCTACAGAGGGCCCAGGGCCCAGCAGGTATTCCTTCCCAGCTCTACAGAGGGCCCAGGGCCCAGCAGGTATTCCTTCCCAGCTTTCTGTCCCTTTCCCAGGGGTAAGGGGTTTCTCCTGTGCCTTTCAGCTGCAAGTCTCTTTGCCCTTTTCACTGAAGATTAAGCCTTTTGTATCATGAATGAGTTAGAAGAAGTGGGTTTAGGCAGTTTATGCAGTTTATGGATTCAATAAAAATCATTGGTATGCATTTGTCCACCTTTCTCCCTGCTGTACATGTAGAAAAAAATGCTTTTTCTAGTTTTCCATATTGGTGATCTGAAACCAAAAACCAGAGAGGACTGCTTTTTTTTTCTTTTCTCCAGTAAATAGTTTTGGCAGCAGGGAGCTAAAAATTAAAGTGATTAATAAAAAATTACTATTATAATGTAATTGCTCAAGAAATTTGAGGATGGCTGTGTACACGTCTGAAAATATTTACTGTCCACTGTAGAAATCAGCATCATATACCTGACTATCTGAAAACCAGCAATTACAAATATGCCAAGGAAGCATCTGTATCTATTTTACATTAAAAAAAAATGTTTTTTGTAAATGCTATGCCTAAAGATGATACTTGAATTTGTATAGATCCAGGTTTTTTTACATATCACTCTTTCAGTCATGACTTGTTATGTATTATCAGATATTGATTT